AGCAATCTATAATCAACAAGATGTCGTAGCAACTACATTTAACGTTGAAGGGGCATTTTATTCAATCTAGAAAAGCAGTCATTGACAAACTCTCCCACTACAATTTAGATGGTAACATTTTCTCATTTGTAAAAAATGATCTAACTGGAAGAATCTTTAAAGTCTTGCCAATGGTAAAATTTTTCAATCCCGTCCTCAAAATTAGGGTGTCCCTTTAGATTCTTGCAAACGAAATTTGCCTCCCATCAAATATGTTCAATACGCTGATGACTTAATCACTTACTGCTGTTAAATATGTCCCAACCTCATATAAACTTATACAAAGTGCAATAAATCTACTTCAAGGTAAATCTAACAAACTAGGATTATCATTCTCTCAGAGTAAACCAAATTAATAAAATTTTTTAGAAGGATTTCCACTCGTACCCCAAATTTTATTTAACAATTCTCCACTTTCTGTTGTTAATTAATGTAAAATTCTCTGTTTTATGTTTGATATACATAAAACAGTATATTGGAACAGATAGTTATGATCAAATTGGAAGAATCAAATCTCTGAACTTAAAACCAATTATTTAAAAAGGTTGAACAATTTTAAAACCCTCAGTCATCTTCAATGGGGTGCCGATGATACTACATCTAGGTCTTGGCACTTTTCGCTTTAGTCCTATTAAGAGTGTATACCGTGAATCTAATAACCTTTCTCTTAACCTAAGACGATAATCTCTTCTACTTTCGTATGCTACATCAACATCCGCAAATCTCTTTAATCCCGTTCATTCCCTAATTGCCACAATGCCGTCTTCTTCCACTAACAATAACCAACACCTTATCATAAAACCTATACCTCAATTAATTTCTTCACTACTTAAAAATATTGACCTCCTTCTGACTAATTGATTTCTTCTACCTTTACTTCCCCTCTGGGCTAAAGATCTCCCTTCAATATATACCTCACTCACCATTTTTAACAAACTTTAATCTTCTAACCTTTTTATAAAGAAGGCATTTTTAGAAATTAATTCTCTATAAAGATGCTTCTAAAACTACCACTGGTATTGGTTGTGCAGTAACCACTAAACATGAACTTAAAAGATCATCTCGGTTACCCTTAACATGCAACGTTTGCACAGGTGAACTGTATAGTATTCTCTTGGCCTTTAAATGCATCCCCCATCGAATGCATTTAAACAGACATATTGCCATTTGTTTAGATTAACTTTCATATATCTATTTAGTCAATACAATTTTCACTGACCACCTATTAGTTCAAAACATTCATGACATATAACAAAATCTCTCTGCTTACCATGTAACAGTCTCTCTCATATGGCTGCCTTCTCACACCGGAATTACTGGTAATAAAACAGCAGATCATTTTGCCAAAGAAGCTACCAACCATGGGGTGACTAGAGTCACCCAAATTCACCTAGCTAACGAATTTCGAAATTCGTTTTTAAAAAGTTAGTAGAAGATACTTAACAAAACTTATAGCACAAAACTAAAACAACTCTTCATAAACTTCAATCTTTTATTGGTCATCTCCCCCTGGACTTCCTAACTAGAAGAGAAGCATCGACTATTAGAAGACTACGAATCAACCACACCAAACTTACTAACTGCAAACAATTCACCAATTTGTATAAAGTCCGGAACTTGAAACCTACTCTAAGGAACCGCTTAACAACCGTACAAAGATAACAAAAACTATACAGTTTCTAAAAACCGTTCAACTCTACCACAAGACTTAACGTAATAGATTAGTTAAAGTAATATAATTATTATTTGTTCTCATTTTATTCTATATTTATTAATAATATTGTTCTTGTACCAATGAGCATAGTTGTCGAGGTACTTTGTGTAAATAAATTTTCGACATAACAATACCGAACAAAAATCCATAAAAATTGTAGAGTTACTTTGGTTGGTTGGTATTGCCTGTTATTTTTACTGGGAATTGATTACATAATATACTATTACTACTTCCTCCGTGGACGTGTTAGTTGTTGCCCTGGAAACCTCACAGTCTTCTAACATTATTGTTACAAATTGGTCGCATTGCTCCTGTAGTGAACGTTTTCTAAGTTAATATGCTCCTTTTCTAACTTGGCTGCACCGTACTGAAGACGGTATATATATATATGATTGTGAGTAAGTCTTATTTATTATTTCTTGATTTCTTATTTCTATTTGAAATGGACTCACACAAGCAACACATTCATGACACATTCATGATATATATGATATATATATATATATATATATATATATATATATATATACATATATATATATATATATATATATATATATATATATATATATATATATATACATATATATAATCCAAAATCTGCGGAAGTGGTTCGGGCTCACATCGGTCGAACTATTCAGAAGCGCCGCAAACAAGATCAAAATTGCCATGTTAATAGCCAACGTTCGCAACGGACAGGGCACTTGAAGAAGAAGATATATATATATATATATATATATATATATATATATATATATATATATATATATATATATATATATATATATATTTATATATATATATATATATATATATATATATACAAGAAATACTGGATATTATTGACTGTCAATATAAACAAACAACACAGTTTATTAGGGTTGCAGTCAGACTGCAACCCTAATAAACTGTGTTGTTTGTATATATATATATATATATATATATATATATATATATATATATATATATAAAAACAAATATTGGCATGACTGCCAAGCTATTTATATTTTGAATACAGAACTTAAATTATTTTTTTACTATTTTGCAGAAAGTTGCTTTTTTTCCGTTGTATTAATAATAATATTGTTGTAGGTAATGCTGCATTGGAAAGTCTGGAGCTAACCAATTTAAAAAAAAAACATCTATGCAGTAACATTATGCTACACTATGCAGTAAAACAACCATCAACCGGTTCCAATACTGTTTCGCACAGTGTTAATTCTGAACTGACGATTTTGTTGAACAGCTTATAGATATGCCGTTATCACCATTGGTCAATAAAAAAATATTTCATAATTATTGTACACTTCAAAGGAGATTCCATTAACAATGTTACAATCAATTTCTATAACTATTAATGTAAACAATTTTGTTTTGTTTTTTTACCTTGAATTATGATTTTGTTAATATTGTTTATGTGTAGATATTAGAACTTTGATGTGTTATATAACTATTAAAATAATGCGAATTTAATTTTTGCAATTTCTATAACTTTGTAATTTAAAATTATTTCATTAATAAACAGCTCAGATCGGACTCATTTATGTAAACAGAAATACAAAAATGGTGTGTGTATTATAAAATGCATAAGTAAATAAAGTAAAGGGTACAATTTATTAAAGTTTTGTTAATTATTATTCCTTTTATCCCAACACATAGATTAATTTATGTTGCCCAAATATATGTTGCCTCTTGTGGCATATCGATCTGTTTATTGTTTCAAAACCATTATCAAAAAACCAAACCCATAAAATTACTATATTTCCAAACGTCATTTTAAAGATTAATATACAGAAAATTTAATTTACACAAAACGTACATAAAACCACTTTTTCAAAAGATTTTCTTTTTTAAACAATGATAAAACTTAATTGAAAAATTTAAGTCTTACAATCTTGACCAAATCTCTCTTTAGTCTTGACTAAAAAATAAACCTCCGCATGAGTGTTCTAAGACGATAGCAATCGAGTCTGTTTCAATTAAATATTTAATCCTTTTCTAACAAATCATATAACCAAATTTAATATCTGGTAAACTAATAAAAATTAAAAAAAAAACGGCAGCATTTATCTACTTCATTTAAATAGATTACTGACCGATTTAAATTTAGCAAGTCTCAAAGTATAAAAACAATTTGAAATAATCGCTCGAAATAGTCAAGTTATCTTTCACAAGACGTATACGACGATAATAACAATAAGCATTTTATTTGTCATATATTTTCTTCACAATTTGGCATCCGTGTACAAGTTTGAATTAGTTATCAGACACCTAAAAATATACTCGAGTAGAATCCTGCAAAGAATGTAGTCTCTGTTAATAGTTTTTTAAATTTATGACTAGAGGCAGCCACATGACGGCAGATTATAAGTCAAACATTTGTTCCATAAGGATTGTCTAACTAGTACTATTTAAACAATGTTAATACTAAACTCACGAGTCTTCCTGGTTGGACCGCATTAATATCCATTGGGCCGAGCTTTCGACATCCTCTCTGACGTCTTCTTCAGGGTCTCCCGAGGTCTCAGTCTCCCGAGCTCCCAGACACTACTACACTGTTCACTATTCAGTGTAGGAGTAAAGCCAACCATATATACGTATTTCTGACTATTGGTCATCTTTATTACGGTGCAGTTAAGTTAGAAAAGAAGCATGTTAACTTAAGGAAGGATCATTACAGGAGCAGTGCGACCAATTTATGGCAATTAGAACCTGAGTTTTCCAGAGCAACAACTAACACATTCACGGAGTAAGCTAAGCTACCTAAGAAAAGTAATGTGAAAGTTTTAAAACGTTTCAAACAACAAAAAATGGTTAATGCGAGTTAATAGTAATATTAAAGTAGAAGGTGTCGCCATAACTCGCAACAAAAAAATATGTGTTTAAAAAATAAAATATGTGTATAAGATGGAAGGCATTTTATTCTAAATTTATGAAATTCGAAATTTCGATCTATAATTCGTATCGAATTTTGATTCTAACCTATGTATATATATATATATATACAGGTATATATATATATATATATATATATATATATATATATATATATATATATATATATTATATAGTATACTTCTAGAATTTTGCAGAATAAAGAATTGATGAAGTTGCAATTTCCTACGCCATTAAATTAGCAATACTAGAATGCTCTTTGAATAAATAAAATGTCTAATCAAGCCCTAAGTACTGTCCTGCCACTTATTATTGGTTTAAAACTATCCATAAAATGGAAGAGTTAAAGTACATTATTGCGTTGTCTCTAAATTAATTAAACCAAGATGAAACTAGCGTATCTGTTATTTATTGCTTTAGTCTGCCTAACAGCGGTAAGAATTGAGTTTTGTATTATTTATTATTAATTAATTGTATTATTGTGCTAAAATGTTTTTAATCTTAGTAAATAATTCTAGCCAATAAGTTTAAATTTGATAGAAATTACGTATTTATAATAATAAGGTTTATAATATTAATTTATTAGCTAGTCTGTACGATAAGTCTTTGATTTCCAGACTTCATTTTGCTTTTGAACCAAAACTTTCCAGATAGTTAATGTATTGGATATAGGGACACTTTTTCAAGTATCTTTTCCAATATTTTTAAGTTCTTTTTGTGTTTGACACACTGTTTATTGAACCGAAGCTTCTCTTCTGGCGTGGTATTACTTTTTTTCCATAGTAAAATGCTGAGGCGATCGTTGCGGAACTAGTCCCATGAGAAGGTGTCACGGGTATCATCACGAAATAATGTTTCTTTTCATCGATTTAGTACTTTTGATTAATTCATTTCTTGTCATGATATTGGGTGTAACCACCTGTTAAAACCGAGCAAGGAGACATGTAGCTCCTGAAGTATTAATTTTCGTCCAATGTCATCGACCTAGAGTCACAATATAATTTAAATTTGGAATGATGTAAAACCATATATGGATGTCACAGCTACAAATTTAGTATTGTTTTGAAGCTATTTCCTTGTGGCATTTTAAATTAATTATTATTTAACTGGGAATAAGCCACAATTAAAGATAAAAATACGTTTATTGACGTTTCAATTTCTACTTCGGAAATCGTTCTCAAAATACAAACAGTAAATTAAACAAATTTTGTTTTTTGTTAGATAGTGAAATACTTACCATGTCGGGATAGTATTATGAGGTTTTTTCCCTGGTGTTTCCCTCATAATTTACTCTGTCACTAGCAGGAGAATTTTACTGGCATCATGTCATGTGTTTGTCATTTTAAAAACGAATTACATGCTATGATTTTTTTTTGACGGATATTCTCAAGTTAAAGTTGATTTCATGTAATCGAATAAACTATCTTTTGAGTAAAGTCGTCCCAGGAACGCAACTCAACAATATTGGCAATATCGTTTTAAAGTCGTCTACTTTAAAATGCATAATGTATGTCTGAATTGTCAATAAAAATGAGTCAGATATAATTAAATTATTAGAACAATTTTTCACTATGTAGTGAAAAATTGTTCATTGTTTCAAATTTAGTGTTAGTTTCAACTACATAAGAAGACACTGAGGATAATCTGATTAGATCGAATACGTTATGCTCCTGTATAAATTTTGACGACATTTTTTAAAAGTTTTGACTATATGTTTTTTATACCTAAGGCTGTTTTCGCAGTTATAGCATACTGCGATTTGAAGTGGGCGTATCACTTACTTTTCTACACTGCTTACGTCAGACCCTACGTGACTTCCTAATTTAAAATCTGCAGTTTGAAGTGGTTTGGATGTTTATTCAGTGGCGCCGGCCCACGGGTTCTTTAATGACAATAAATGCATTATTCTCCATTCAAATTAGTTTTGTCGCAATACTTTTTTTTTTGATTAATTATCGTAGATAATGTTTTAAAAAGAATTAATCACATTTTTAATTTATATGTCTTAGCTAAACATAGTATTAAATAAAAATTTGTGAAACGTGACTGCAAAAAACACCATGGTGTTTATTTATAATAAATTTAAAATAACATAAGAATATTATTATCAAAAAAATTACAATTTGTTGTCACAAACAAATAAACAATTTCGCAGTTATAGCTTGAAAATTATTTCATGAAGTTATTTATTTGATAGAGAAAACTGATATTAGCGTAGTAAAAATTAAAAAAAAGAATATTTTTATTTATCTATAAAAAATTAGTACCTGCGAAACCATCATAATAGTAAATGTATTTATCTGGCAAGTATTTCGAGGCAACGCACTGCGAGGAAAAAGTTCTCTGAATGGAATATACATTATTTTAATATATTTATAGGTTTCAGTTACATAAGAAAAGTATCCAATTGATGAATAAAACACAAATCGTGGATAGTTATTTTATCATCATCAGTGGCATTACAGCTCGTCATGAGCCAAAGGCTTCTTCAGAACAATCTTCCATTCGCCCCTGCCTCTGGCAACTTTCTCCATGCTTTAACTCCGATGGATTTTAGATCATCCTCTATGTTATCTTGATACCTAAGTTTTGGTCTTCCTCTGGATCGTTTTCCCACTGGTCCTCTTCGGTCGAAAATTTTTCTGATCGTTTCATCTTCATCTCGCCTAATTACATGTCCTATCCATCAAAGGCGTACTAATTTAATAATTTTTACAACGTCAGGTACTACACCTGAAGAACCATCATAGTTTACTTTATACGATCTTTTTGACCAAGCACCATCAGCTATAACGGTTATTAACCTATTTCCGTCGGAATCTACTTCACCAATTTCTTTGGCTAAAGCTAATTCCTCCCGTCCAGCCTCTTCTAAGGAATCACAAAGTGTTTGGCCGATGATATCTGCAACTGTTTCCGTATGTTTTGCATACTGTTTGTAGGACATCACAGGTATATTTAATGCAGCGTGCTGCTGCTGTATGTCTGAATAACCAGAACCATTCAAGTTCAGTGAATTGTTACCAGAATCCTATGTTGCTATCTCCTTTTCAATATTCCACATTAGACATTTAAAAGTCAATGTACTTATCAATCCGTCCATTTTTTCTTTGATAATCTCCATATTAGAAAAGTTGCATGAAAATGGAGAATGATTATTCAAACCTTGAATAGATTTAATGAAAAAGTTTATGTCCACTATTCTTCTGCCTTCTACCAAAAAAGATGGTTTTTGCGGAGAGGCAATCTCAACTGACTGAGAATGACAGCTATTACTAGAAATAACGATAAAAGTTAAAGTATTTTCTGCAAATGATATTATTTGGTATTATTATTATTTAAGAATAAAACATTGGTAATATTTTGACCATAAACAAATAACATGTAAGGTCATGAACCCTCTATTTACTTACTTTACGGTAAGTAAATAAAAAAAAAGTAAAAAGGGTTACTTACGAATCGACACTACTAGGTAAAGTAGGTGTTTCTGCTAATTCTTGATGGAATGAACCATGATACTATGAATAACAAGATAGGCTCCGATTTTGTGATACGGGTTTTGTGGTTTGGACATTTCGAATGTCAGATATATATATATATATATATATATATATATATATATATATATATATATATATATATAAATTAAATAAAAGCTTTTAAAAACGGTTGTAATATAAATAATAAATACTTACTGCAGTGCAATTGCTCTCGTTTTTCTTGACATATGACGTGTACTGGGACTCATTTTTTATCTTGTCTCTTATAACTTATATCACTAACCTAATGTAATACTTAAAAATACGCGTAAACTAAAGAACTTTTAACTTATACCACTAAACTAATAATATATTACTTAACATATACGTAAACTAAATAATTTCAATGTTTTCAAAATAAATAAGAATACTGTAAACTGTAAAAACTAAGCAAGTTGATAAAGAAAATACAAGAATGAAAGAACTACAATGGATTCTAATTCAAGCGAACTAACTGACCGTACCCATAGAGAAATAAAAATAAGACCGTACCGTACGTTCATGAGATTTGACGTCACTAATGCGATAACGATCAAGCTCAGCGACAATGATGAGGAACACGTTTCACTATTAGATTTCAGTATTTTTTAGCAATTTTCTTCAAAGTTTAAATACGCTTTTCTCGATTATTACTGGACACAGAAATGTATGTTTTTTAAAACGATAGTATACAGCCAACTACTGGGATTTTCCCATTTATTTTTTAAAAAACGTAACATAGTCTATAAACGAATGGACACTAAATAAAAAAAAAAAAGAATGAAATAACCACATAAATAGAATATGGGAGACCCGTATCGTCATAGAAAGAGGTAAATCACCACGCGGCAGAAGAAAAATCGGACAACCGCGCAAAATATGGAGCAGCAACCTTCCGCAGAGGTAATAATCCACCAATGAACAAGCGAAATTGCTTATAAAGAGAAAAAAAAGAAGAAGAAGAAAAATATGTTTAAAAATAATATTTGAAGTTTAGAAATACAGAAAGCATAGTATAAAGTTTTGAGCTAGAGTACCGCCTACTGTACCATATTTTTTTCTTACCTATATCATATTTTTCCAATCCACTTTTTTATCGTCTTACTCTTGCTAGCCTTTTATACTTCGTTATTTTACTTATGCCATTCCTCTTTTCACCCTCTTTTTTAAGTTTGAAAATACGCTAAATGATTTTTGATATTTAATTTAATTCCAGTTATTATTCTTAGTATCGTCTAGAAATTTTACATATTTTAAATCTCTTCGGAATATCTTAAAATCATTTTGTTCTTGTATAATATCTTTTCATGCATGTAACTACGGTGTTTTAATAATCGATTTATCATTGCAGTATGTTGTATTTTAGTTTTGTTCCCTCTGTGTCTTTTTAAATCTCGGTTCACAGAAAATAAGTTATTGATATCTACGGACGATAGAAAATATAAATAAATAAATGCATTTCTATTTTTGTTGACCTTTATCTTCTCTTCAGTTAATTCGTTGACTTCTTTATTTTTTAACGTTCTTTTCAGTTAAAGTTTTGTGCCAAACCCTATTCTAAACCCTAATAGTGTCGACAATACTTTTCACAAGTTCTTATAGCGATTTTTCTTTTATAAAAATGTTATAGGTCCTTCTCGGATATTCTGATCATGCGAAAGAGAATTTTATATAACAATCTCTTAGCAATAAACGAACATATCTATCAACTGCATCTTGAAATAAACACTTTAGGTATTATTTTTTATTCTTTCTAAATCATGACTATTTTTTAACACAACACCTACACAAATCGGTAGTTAGTTGGATTCTTTTCTCTTTTATTTTTATAACTTTCTGTACACTATACGTTATCTAATTGTTTATTTTTATGTATGCTTTATTTTAATTTAGCATTAATACATATTCTTTTTTAATAGGCCGCATCTCAGACTGAACATCAAAAAGTAGGACGAATTATCGAAGCATGCCAAAAAGAATTGGGTTCAACTGTAAATGAAATCCAAAATATTAACCTTGGTATTGTAAACCCTGACGCCGGCAAGCAAGTTCTTTGTGTTCATCGTAAACTGGAAACACTGGATCGGAATGGAGACGTTATTCCAGATAAGTTTAAGCAACACATTCAAGCTATTACTGGCGATGAAAATCATCGGAAAGAATTTCAAGACAAATGTGGTAAAACTCAAGGAGGCAATCCCGAAGTTAAAGCTATTAATTTTGATAAATGTATACAATCCGTCATAGCAAAAATACATGCCTGATTTATCTACAAATCTATAAAGATATAAGGAATTTATAAATACATAAAATAATTTATAATAAATATATTCTGATATAAAATATAGTACTTTCGTTTAAATTATGATTTGTTATTGAATTTGGCGTCTCATACAAAAACATATCCGAATCATCCAGCCTTCTGGGTCCAAAGTTAAATATAGGCATAGACATAGCCTAATTTTTTCCCGTTCTTCGGTCTTAAGATTTCTGCAGTCAATTCCCTGCAATTCTTTTAACGTTGTTCCACGTTTTTCTGTGTATAATAACCTTGTCTATGAGAGTCAGTCTAAGTAACGACCGTTCCATTTAAGTTTGGTGTCTGGCCTGGGTTAAGAAGAGTTCTTACGGTGTCGTAAGTCATGACTGGAAGGACACCGTAACTTTCTTACAGGTAGCATCTAACTCAGTCCACCTAGTTTCAATCTCTGAAATTTTAATCTCTTTCTAAGTTATCTACTATTAGATATTGTCCGCGAATCGTAGGTGGGAAAGCATTTCACCATCGACATTGATTTCTTTGGCGTTCAACTCCAATTGTTTGAAAGTATGTTCCAAAAATAAAGTAAATAGTTTAGGAGATAAAATGTCTCCTTTTCTAATAATTTCTCTCTCGATTTTTACACATTTAGTAATTTTTGTATTCTTAACACAAAAATATTATCGCATTGAAGAATCAGATCATGAATCTGTCGTCGAAATAAGAGTAACTATTGTCATTTGCTAGTTACACCGTTTTTAATAATTTTCTCCAAACCGTAAGAGAGTATTTTCGTTTTGACAATTTTTTCCGTAATAACTTAAGCTCTTAATCAAAATCCGTTATTAGTTTTTCTCTATCTACTACAGTTTTTTCAATCTGGAAATGGATAGATGTACGGACGGACCAAAAACTTATTCTATAGCAGTGGTGGCTAGTTATTTTTCAAAAACTGAAATTTTCGCGAACTGCAATTAACTACATATTAAAAAGTAAACATTAAAATATTTTTTTACAGAAATTATATTTATTAAAAACATAAAGGGGGACCTTTATGTGGACTTAAAACCTACCTAAAATTTACCAAAATTTGTGCAGTAAGGTGTTACTGTGCTACACCAGAAAACAACAAGTTGCTAATGTTAAACAATTTTTTAAAAATAATCAAAGTTTAGCGGCCACCATTAAAAAATTTCGTATAAAATATGTTGAGAAAGCTACTTCGTCAACTATACAGTGAATAATTGAAAATTTTTAGGGAACAATGATTTAACATTATTTTAAGTCTTAAAATCTACTTTGGAATTTCGTCAATATTCCTTCTAGCTTTTTTATATATTCGTGAGTTTCTGCTATTTACAAGTTAAGCGCCACCATACAATGAAAATGGTTGGTCCCTGGGACCAAAAAGAATTGATATTGCTTCTACGGGGCCATGTGGTACATACGTTGTACCATGACACTGCGTGGAATTAAAGGACGAAGTAACGGTCTTGAGTATTAAACGACTCGTGCAAGTCAGTCTGTTGTTACCCTTTTTGATGAACACAGTTTTTGAGAATGGCAGTGTAGGAAAGTGAATATAAACAAGGTATACGCACAATAGGAGATTACGAAAACGGACAGAAATCTATTTTACCGATGAAAAATGAAAATGATTCTGTAATATTAGGTGATGTTTATTCGTCTGATGCTTACGCTCCTAGTTCGCAAGCTTCGAGTGACTGGAAAGATGAAAATAGCAATGTCGAAAATTATGTCAAGAAGTAAATGTTACAATGGACTCGGGAACATCTTCAAGCAAATTAAATAGTTTCTTCTTCTTTTTGTGCCACTCCTATCGGAGATTAAAAATCATCAAGGTTATTCTGACCTTGTTTACGGCTGACCTAAAGAGTTCATTAGTGGTGCAGCCAAACCACTCTCTCAAATTCCGCAACCATGACATTCTTCTACGGCCTGGATTCCGTTTTCCTTCTATTTTTCCCTGCATTATATTTTGAAGTAATGCGTATTTATGTCCTCTCATCAGGTGACCAAAATATTCGAGTTTTCTTCGCTTTAGCGTTAACAAAATCTCTGGGTCTTTTCCTGTTCTTCGTTAAATAGTTTATCTGCCTCTAATGGTGTTAGAGATTTGCCGAGCTCACAAATAGAATCAGATAATATCCATTCAAATTTACAAAATGTGGACATGTTATTGAATATGTAATTTCCCAGTACAGAGCTGAAAGTGACCCAGAAAATAGAAATAATCATCAAGATGACCTAATTATCTTAAAGAACTTATAGTGGAATACTGTTGACGGATTCTCTTTTAAGACTTTTGACTTTGATGGAAAATATACAGGAGTTAAAGCTAAAATCTATGAAGATTATATAATTAGGGATCTCTATAGTTTTTTAAGTTATTTGTTTGGGACGAAGTGATGTGATTACTCTCATGGTTAACGAAACCAGAGAAATATCTATGGCGAGCAGTGTTTGGCGAAAGAAGGACTGACTTAAAAATCGCTCAAAAATCGATCAAAAAGTGGACTACAACTGATCATCTGGAAATGGAAAGGTTTAATATGGATGGGCCTGTGTAAGTTGTCCACTATACGATCGTATTGGAAAAATTCATTATTATATCAAAATGAAATCAGCCGTCATATGTCGAGGAACCGTTTTGAATTATTGCTAAGTAAGTAGCATTTTAGCGGTAATAATAATAATGCTTTTGCAGACGACAGACTTCGCAAAATTACTCCACTACTTATAGTTCTTTTAAAAAACTTTGAAAAAGTATTAACGCCTGGTAAAAAAGTGTGCATTGACAAGACCATGGTACCCTTTCGTGGTCAACTACGATTTAGGCAATACATAAAAATAAAAGGCACAAGTTCGGTATAAAACTGTACAAGTTGTGTATGGAAGGAGGGTACACTTATAATCTTCGGGTTTATTGTGGAGCGATTATCTCTAATGGATGATCTTCTGGATTCTGGTAGAGAACTGTATACGAATATATAATATACAAGAGTGTCCTTGGCTACCAAATTATAAGAACGAAAGACGCATCTGGTGGGCATCCTCCGCAGCAACCGAAAATGTAATCCTTAAGAGGTGGTCCAAAAAAAATTAAAACCAAAAGAAATATATGCCAGAGAAAGTTATTCCGGAATTCTTCTTCTTCCTATGCCGTAAAATTAACGGAGGTTGGCGACCACATTTCTAAAAGTTTCTCTGTCTTTTGCAACGTGGAATAATTCGTCTACAGTCATGTTTGTCCAGTCTCGAATATTTCACAACCATGACTTCCTCTTTTTACCTATTCCCTTTTTGTCATCGACTCTACCCTGCATGATGACCTGCAGAAGACTATATTTATCATTTCTCAGTATGTGTCCAAGGTATGCAGTCTGAGTACTTTTATTGTTCTCAACAATTTTTTGTCTCGACCCATCCTTCTCAGCACTTCCTCATTGGTGACTCTGTCAGTAAATGGAATCCTCCACATTCATCGGTATATCCTATCTATGAAGATTATATAGTTTATATATATATATATAAGTTTAAAGTCTTTAAGCTTCTTAACTATTTGCGCTTTTAACGTCTATGTTTCTACCCCGTACAATAGTTAGAGCCAGACGTAACATTTAACAAACCTCAGTCTCAGAGCAGTATTCAGTTTTTTGATCAATTGCTTGAATTTTAAGAACGTAGCCTTGGTCTGGATCTAATTCTGTGTTGATGTAAGCTCCCAGATATTTATATTTTGTCACTCTCTCTATTTGCTGTCCATCAAGGGTTAGTTGGTCATTATTTATTGGACTTCTTGATACTATCATAAATTTGGTCTTCCGGAATTATGGTCATGTAATGGCGTGACAAGAGGGATGTGCTTATGCATGGCACCATGCATAGAAATAATACAAAAGAAGTATTGCAGAGAGGTGGTCCAGCAGAAAAATCCGAAACAATAATCAATCATAACGGAGCTAAATCTTACATTGACCTGTCTGACCAAATAAAAGCATGTTCTCACTGTCTACGCAGAGTATCGTACAGAAAGATTGCCATCAAATTATTGTTGGGGTCTGCAGTTGTAAACGCTTTCTTGCTCTAAAGGAAGTTACACACGAAAAATTGCCGATTTTAAAGAAAAACTGTAATATTAATTGTTATGCAGATGAACATAAGCCCGCAGGTAACACCGAAAATCATGCTTTAAAACAAACCAATTCAAGAAAGAGATGTGTTGTTTGCTACGAAAATTTGAAAAATTTTGACAGCCGAAAAGTAGCAACAAATAAAAGTTTTTGAAGTAAATGGCAATGAATGATCTATAAAAAACATTATTCTGTTGAATGCTTCTTTACTACACACCAGGCACAAGCTGTATAAAACATGAAGTTCTTTGTATCATATTTGCGACGGTATAATGTAAATGTTAATGTAAGAATTACTACTTATGTTTGCAAATATGCTTTCCGTTTGCTTTTGTTTTAGTCTTTAGGTATTCAAAAATTTTTCACAAAACCGAATATACCAATAATTTGTATTCTTTCAAATAACAAAAATGTGTTATATAGGTGTATTATTTTTTCTTGGCCAAAATCACTACTTGGCTTTCATGCCACATATTTTCAACTTCCAAACTTCCATATAAATAATATACAAGTGCGGCACACCGTGTAAGCCACGATTCCCAAAATACCATAGGCACTTAGGCAAGCAACATATGTGCCATGCGGTCCGAACAACAAAATTGGGTGTGGCACCCGCATTATACCACGTTGCACTTAACGTGTTAATATTAAAACATTTTTTTTTATTCCAGGAAAATGACAAAATGTTTATTTCATGTCCTATTAAAAAGGAGATTAGCCCACAAACTTTCATCTGATCTAGTCTTTATAGGTCTAACAAAGGCATACGTTAGTCAAGTAGCAGTGGAAAAACAAGGAATAAATAAAAAATATATAAAAGCAGTACAGCTGCTTTACAAAAATATGACGGTAAACATTAACCATTATATTACCAATACTTTTATAAAGAAAAGAAATTTTTTGATGTAGAATTCTCTTAAAATTTCTAATAAAGCCCTGCGCACGGTCCTGCTACTTATTATTGGTTCATAACTATCTATAAAATGGAGTAGTAAAAGATTTAACTGTTGTGTTGTCTCAAATCAACTGAACCAAGATGAAACTAGTGTATCTTTTATTTATTGCTTTATTTTGTCTAACAGCGGTAAGAATTGATTTTTGTATTGTTATTGCACTTAAATATGTTTTATCCTAGTAATTATTCTAGTCAAAATGTTTGAATTTGATCCAATTTACATATTTATAATAAAAATACTTATGATATTAATATATTAATAAGTCGGTACAAAAATTTTTAATGCTAGAGTTCTTTTTGCATTCTAACGAAAAATTTCCAGATAGTTACAGAATTAGGAGAATTAATGTGAACAAACAGAAATGATTTGTAAATATGATTTATTTAGGCCAAAGGTAAATTTAAGTACACTAACATGGGATTTTTGCACTAATTAGTATTTAATATATCCCACAGTTACTTTTATGACTTCCTGGGGTCTTCTAAGCACGAAATCCACAAATTTTTTGCAATTATTTGTGATTGCTTTATCTCTAAACCACACCCTAATCACTGCTTTCGCCATTTTTGTTTTTGTCATACATTTAAATTTTTGCAGTTTAGCCTACATATTGCCTACAAATTTTCAATAGGATTAAGGTTAGGTGAACTTCTAGGCCAATCAAGAAGGGTAATATTATTATCCTTGAAGTATTTCATCATAACCTTTGATACATGGCACGGAGCTGAATCTTGTTGAAAAATTGCAGTCCCTTCAGCCTGTACTTTGTTAAGCGCTATAGCTAAGCGTTGCCCTAGCATAACTTTGTACTTTTCACTGTTCATCATACCTTCAATAGGAAGAAGAGTGTCAGTTCCGGAGTACAAAAAACAGCCCCAGAACATTATTTTGGTGGGATGTTTAACTATTTGGTTAATAGGACTAGCTGAAAGTATAATCATTGGCTGCCTTTTGTACGAATTTTGATCGGTGGCCCTGCACTAGGCAGTGAATTTCATCAGAAAATAACACTTTTTAATAACGTAGAATACACTAAACCAACACACGATTTTAAAAGATGACTAATAACAAAACTGTTAATATTTAATCCATATTAAAAGTTTATATTCCATTATATATATTAAATATATATAAAAGTTTGACCATATTTAAAAGTTTGACCTGATTGCACAGTTAAATCAATGAAAATAACACCAACTTGCACCTAACCTGAGATACAACAAAATATAATAATGATATAAAACACAAAGCACGTGTTTTGAACAATATACTAATCAGGTTTTGAGGTTATGTTGTTTTCTTTTTTGACAAAACAAATGACAGAATAGGCACAGCAGGTGGGCCAACTTATGAAAACTGAATTTCGATCTCTGTTCACATTAATTCGTTCAATACTGTAATGTATTCGATATAAGAAACCTTTTGCAAGTATCTTCTCCATTATTTTTAAGTTCTTTTTATGTTTAAAAAGCTGTTTATTAAGGCGAAGCTTCTATTTTGACGTTGTATCACTTGCTTCTCTATCATAAAAATCATCACGAAATAACGTTTCTTAACATCGATTCACTATTTGTAATTAATTCGTTTCTAGTCATCATTGACTCTAAGCAGGTTGAACTTGGAAACTGAAAAAATTAAAAGAATATCTCTCAATAAAAGATTCGAATCGTAAAATTTGTCAAAATTTAAAAAATATAAATGTTACCCAATTAAATAATAATATTGAATCATCTGTAATTTTTTTTTTCTGTAAATGTTTTAAAAAACATTTCTTGTTTTAAAATAAGTTCATATAAATAGAAATATTATTTTTATTATTAAGATCTTATTTAGTTTATATAATAAATAAATTTGTTATCAAATGATATTTATTTATATTTTAATATTAAATTTAGTAATATTATTAAATATTAATCAATAGAAGTAAGCAACATATGCTTATTAATACGTTAGGAGTAGGTGGCGTTAAGAGCAAACATAATAATTTATTGAATTATTTTACTATATAATATATTTTTTTTTAATTATAAGTAAAAATATAATAATAACGTTGCTTTATTCCATTTTAAAAATTAAATACTATTTGATGCCAATTGCATCGTGTGTTACACAGAAGACGGAATATTGATAGCGCAAGATGAAAATAGTCTACAAAGAATGGTCCACAGATTTAGTACAAGAGCAAAAGTGTTGAATATGACAATCTCATCTGAGAAAAGTAAAACAATAGTAATCAGCAAAGAACCAATCAGATGCTATGTAGAAAGAGACCTAAACAGAGTGAGAGATCAAATAATATTAAAAGCAAATATACTCGCGAGATGCCTTAATAACACTATATAGCAAAAAATATACACTAACACTGGGATGAAGTCAAGAATTTGAAACCCAGTGTAAGACCTATAATGACATGCCTCACAAACAAGACCCGACATAGCCAAAACACACATACTACTGGCAATACCAGAGATGAGAGTACTGAGAAAAATTACAGTAAATAAGCTGAGATTGAAATCGACATCAGAAAAAAAAATGTAACGTACAGTGCATAATCGTATGGACAATAGGACAAAACGAATGGTATTACCACATAAGCAGAAGATAGGAGACCGGTATCGTTAAAATAGCCTGAGATAAATCACCAATCGGCAAAAGAAGAATCGGGTGGTGCCCAAAATATGGAGTAGCAACCTTCCGCAGAGGTATTAATCCAATAATGATCAATCAATTTGTAAAGAAAAAGAAGAAGAAAAAAAAGAACAAGAAGAAGATTTTTTAAAATAATATTTAAATTTTAAAAATACAGAAAGCATAGTATAAAGTCAAAAGAAAAGGTAAAAAAGTATTTTTGAAGTGTGTATATTTTTAAATAATTCCTAGCTGAGCGCTTTCGGCTTTACAAAGCCATCATCGGAGCTATGCTACAATAAAATGTTCGTATAAGTACTAATTGGTGAAGATTTTAATTTTTTAACTTACGTCAATTTATAAATACCACTACAATGGTATCTCATTTCCTTATATGTCGAAATTATGATTTTTTAGTTGTTAAAATTATTAAAAAACATATAAAAAAACCGACACTGGACTTCACAGACACATTAAAAAATTGAAAAATTTTTTGTCATGGTACGGGTGTAAGAACCCGACCATTGATTGATGTGAGGAGGTAGACAGAATAGAACTAATGAAATCAAATGTCGGTCCTTTTAAACGATTTTTCAAAAGTGACAGTTGACAAATGTCATATTTAGGAAATAGAGATTGTTTTTTAGATTCTTACAAAATTATTTAATAGTTTGGAATTACTAATAGTCATCAAAGACTTTCTAAAAATTAAGTTTTTAACTTAAATCTTATGTGTTCATCACATCATACAGAATGACATTAGAGAAGAAGAAACATGGTATTAATGTTACATTATCTGATACTTAAGTGTATTGAGAATTGTATCTCTTGATGGAAATTTGTAAGAAATTTGCATAAAAAATTTTTTAATAATATATTTTCATGTTTCAATTTAGAATAACTGTCAAATGAATTACAAAATGTTGTAAATTTCTAATAAAGTTTAAAATTTTGTTTAAAAATATAAAATTATGAAAAAATATAGTAAGATTGCATGAGGTCACCCTTCTTCCTCTAAAGTCTCCCATAATAATTTAAAAAGAGGTTTATAATTGCAATTGAGGTTGATTTGTGTGTTTAACCAACAATCAGGTTTTAGTTTCATTTCTTTGGATATCTCAAGATCTTCCAAGAGATTCATGAGTCTAAAGTTTTTATTGGGAATGTTGTGTAAAATTTTACTGTTTTCAAAAGGAGAAAAGGAATGATTATTAAATTTAATGTGATATCCAAAGTTTGATTTTTCTGGGTTATTGAGGTGTTCTTTGATTCTTTGATTCAGAGTTCTCATTGTTCTACCTACATAAGTCATATTACAGTCACCACAGGACAGCTTGTAAATAAGACTTCTGTTTAGTTTGTCAACTTTGTCTTTGGTCTTGCTGAAGATGGACTTGAGGTTATATTTGGTTTTAAAGGAGATGTTTAAGTAACTGATTTTATTAACAAGTACTCTTGAAATTTTTTCTGAAATTGGTCCTTAGTAAGATAAGGATCTATATATGGAAGTAGTGTTGGATTTTTTATCAACATTAAAAGCTTGGTTTAGTCTCTTTTTGAGTATAGATTTTCTAGTGACTTTATCAACAGTAGTAGAAGGAAAACCATTGTTGTTTGCTATCTGTTTAATAATGGAGATTTCTTTATTGTAATTTTCTTGAGACATAGGGATATTAAGAAGTCTGTGGACATAACATTGAATAGCTGCCATCTTGTGTTGAAAAGGGTTATTTGAGGATGTTGGTATCATATGGTCAGTTTGAGTAGATTTTCTGAATATTGAAAATTCTAGTGTAGGCAAAGAAGAAGAGGAGGAAGCATTCTTTTTGATAGTTAGGTCTAAAAAGTTGATAATGTTATTGCTTTCTACTTCTAAGGTAAAATTAATTGCAGGATGTAGATTATTAATTATTGACAAAATATTGTGAGGTTCTGAAGGTGGGTCTTCTATAAAGGCTAAAATGGCATCCACATATCTGTACCATAGGATTATTTGTGGTTGAGAATGAACAAAGTTCTCTCTTGAGAATATCCGTCAGAAAAAAAATCATAGCATGTAATTCGTCTTTAAAAAGATAAACACATGACAAGATGACAGTATAATTCTCCTCTTAGTGATTCCATAGTAAATTATGAGGGAAAAACCAGGAAAAAAACCTCATAATACTATCCCGACATTGTAAGTATTTGTTCGTGAATTTAGTTTACCTTCAACAAACATCAAAATTCTGATTTTATATGTTACGTTATTTAAAAAACATAAATGATGTATCCTCTATATGTTACTGACTTACTAATACTGGTATTTTCTTATTAATAACTTCCTCTTTCAATATTGGTAACCAGATCCTACTACATTCTGCCGTGGAATTTGCGACACAATTGGCCTCATTTAGCATAATTAGAGCCGCTTCTTTGATTTTTCTTTTTTTACCATCCGTTTCTTTTAGGACTACATTTGAATTATTCCATTGAACCTTATGTTTATTATCCCATGCGTGTTTACAGATTTGATATCTATCAAATTCTCTATTTTTAATATAAGATTGATGTTCACTTATTCTAATATTTAATGGCCTTGATGATTCACCTAAATAAAACTGATCGCATTCACAAGGTATTTTATAAATGCAATTCTTTGTCCTTTCTTGTTCATTGTTAGGTTTGGTTTTGGACAAAATAGATCTCAACGTGTTTGTTGTTTTGAATGTTCATGATGATCAATTTTACTGTCATCATGTCATGTGTTTGTCTTTTTAAAGACGAATTACATGCTATGATTTTTTTTCTGACGGATATTCTCAAGTTAAAGTTAATTTCATGTAATCGAATGAACTATCTTATAAGTAAAGTCGTCCTAGGAGCGCAACTCAACAATATTGGCAATATCATTTTAAAGTCGTCTACTTTAAAATGCATAATGTATGTCTGAATTGTCAATATAAATGACTCAGATAAAATTAAATTATTAGAAGAATTTTTCACTATGTAACAAAAAACAAAATTTGTTTAATTTACTGTTTGTATTTTGAGAACGATTTTCGAAGTGGAAATTGAAACGTCAATAAACGTATTTTTATCTTTAATTGTGGCTTATTCCCAGTTTAACAGTAATTAATTTACAATGCCACAAGAAAATAGCTTCAGAACAATAAAAAGACAAATATGATTGTACAAGATGTAAGAGTATTGAGAGGAGCTATCTGTGAAAACGATCATCACTTATTAAACGCCAAGATCACATTTGGAGTAAATAAAGCCCAAGAAGAAAAAGAAGGAAATGAAAGAGAGAAAGTAATACAAAAGAGATATAACCCAATCAGCTTAGAACAAGAAAGCGTAAGAGAATTGTTTAGAAATACATTAAATCAAAAGTTTAATCATAAGAAATAGATTAAATCAAAAGTGGCAGCAAGAGAAGCCATTGGATACCAAATCCAGAATCAATTTCATATTGGTTTGTCGAAGAAAGAGAACAAGAAAGAAAGAAGAAAAGAGACCAATATAAAAAATTCTTAAATACAAAGAATTTAATGGATAAAATAATCTACAAGGAGTCTCAAGCTAAAGTAAGAAAAATGATATGCCGGAAGAAAAATAAAGCAAGTGTAACATAATAAATTTACATCTAGGAGGACGAAGCAGTACAGAAAGTTAAAGAGTCTTAAAATATTTACGACAAAACAAGAAGGGAGACATAGTGTCAACAATAACAATGGACAACTAAAACAAATATTTTGAGAAACTCCTAAGGGATGATAGACCACAATTTAAAGACAGTAACGAAGCACAAAATATAAGTATTTTAACATTTCCTATACGAATAACAACGAAAGAAGTGGAAGATGTATGTAGATCTCTATAAAATAACAAAGCTCCGGTTCCAAGTAACATCCCTGCAGAGTTAATTAAACATGGCACAACCAAACTATATACAAGTTTAGTTAAACTGTTTCAAAACTGCAATAATGGAATGACAACCCCAGAGGAGAAGAAGATATCATTCATATCCACTATATACAAAAAATGCAGAAGGGATGAACGAGACAAACTTGGTTAGTAGAATATACGGAAAAGTAATTAAAAACAGAATAGAAAGGAGATATAAAGACTTAGAGGCTGAAGAACAGGCAGGATTTAGGACAGGTAGATCTACCGTTGAATATTTGTTTTGCATTACACATATTATTAAAAAAAGCGTTAGAGAAAACAAACATAAGCATGAATTTAATAAATGCGACGAGGAAACTCTACACTAATGCTAACTCAAAAGTAAAGGTTAGAAATATAATCTGTCAAGTGGATTCCAAATAAATAAAGGCCTTAGCAGGGCTGCTGTCTTTCCCCGACATTATTTAAAATGTATCTAGAACACGCTCTAAAACTGTGAAAGCGCAAATGTAGAAATATGAGAATCCCGATTAACAACAATAACATTATACACTTTGTCATTTGCAGATGATCAACTAATGATAGCACAAGATTATGAAGATATCGAGTATATGACTTGAAAATTAATCGAGAAGTATAAAAAATGGGGACTTAAAAACAATATCCAAAAAACCGAGTATATGTGTATCGGCCAAAAACAACAGGACCTTATATTGGAAGATGAAGAAGTTATCAAACATTGCAATACATATAAATATTTAGGTATGATCAAAAACAACTAAGCAAGAAAAGCTATTTCCCTTCTCAATACTATCATTTGGGATCAATTAATCTCTGATAATAACAAACACAAGATATATAATACAATCATTAAAAGTATAATTACCTACAGTAGTGAAGTATGGCAAATAAAGGAAAGATACAAGAGAAAACTTGAGACGACGGTAATTAATTTCTGTAGACGTTCAGCTGGAAAATCTAGACTAGACAGAGTAACAAACAACAAAATAAGAGAAATTATGAAAGTAAAACATACAATATAGACGATTTTGTTACCCAACAACTCAGATGGTACGGTCATGTACAGAGAATGTCTGAAGAACGTCTCCCAAAACAAGTCTTAATGTGGAGCCTTCACGGTAAAAAAAAGAGGAAGACCCTGCCTTAGTTGGAGAGGAGGCAATAATAGAGAAATGAAAGACAGAGACATAGAAGAAGATTTATAAATGAATCGAGAGGAGTGGCAAAACTGGATATCGGAAGACGTAGGAGAACGTTTGTATCTGTTAAAATAGATTTATTTTTTATTTTTGTGCCCCTATCCTATTCTAAGCGCTTATTATGTTTAAAATACTTTCCACTTAGTTCTTATAGTGATAAGTCTTTATTGTTTCTTTCTTTATTTTTTACGAAATTGTTATAGGTTCCTCTTGGATATTTTGATCATGAACAGGAGAATTGTGTATAACAATCTCTTAGCAATAAACGACAATACCTGCATCTTGAAATGAACATTCTACTAATTATTTTTTATTCTTTTTAAATTAAGACTATTTCTCCACACAACACCTACACAAAACAGTATTTAGTTTGCTTCATTTATCTTTTATTATTATCCAAATTTCTATACGGTAAAGACGTTATTTAATAGTTAATTTTTTTGTATATTTTATTTTAATCTAGCAATAATATATCATATTCTTTTTCAACAGGGTGAATCTCAAACTGAACATCAAAAAGTAGAAAAAATAATCAAAGAATGTCAACAAGAATTTGCTTCAACTGTAAACGAAATTAAAAACATTAACCTTGGTGTTATAAACCCTGATACCGGCAAGCAAGTTCTTTGTGTTCATCGTAAACTAGGAACACTGGATCAGAATGGAGACGTTATTCATGATAAGTTTAAGCAACATATTAAAGCTATTACTGACGATGAAAATCATCGAAAAGAGTTTCAAGACAAATGTGGTCAAACTAAAGGAAGCAATTCAGAAGTTAAAGCTATTAATTTTGATAAATGTATACAATCTGTCATAGCATCTAATAATCTATAAAAATGTAAGAAATTTATAAATATATAAACTAAAGTATAATAAATATATTATGATATAAAATATAATACTGTAAATATTTATTTGTTATCGAATTTGGCGTCTCATACAAAACATCATCATCATTCAGATTTCTGCGTCCAAAGTTAAACAAAAGCTGTACCTAATTTGTTTTAGTTCTTTGGTCTTAAGATTTCTGCAGTCAATTCCCTGCGATTATTTTGACGTCGTTTCACGTTTCACTTTACGCATGCTATGCGCTCTATGACTTCTGCGACGACGACTGCAATTTTTATTTCCCCGTTCATAACCCTGTCGACGAGAGTCAGTCTAAGTAACGACCGCTCCATTCTTCTATGGGCCACTCTACGTTTCTAAGAATAATGGAGATATACAAAATCATAAAAAAGTCTAAAGACTCATTCAAAACCGAAAAGAACCATGCTATTTTTTATTCTACGCCATATATTATTTTTAAATAAATTGTTTTTCTCGTTTATTCTAACTAAGAAAAATATAATTTATTGGCGCCTCTAAGGTAAATGGTTTCCCTAGAAAATCACATTTTTAATATAAGAGTAATAATCCTTGAGAATCTGAGAGGTGAGTAAGATATCAAATACTTATCTTTCTGTCCGTACGTAAGTAATTATATTTTATATGTAACTCATCCGCTTTTAACTCGTCAGTATTCGCTTAATTTTGTTGCTGGTTTCTTATTTTGGTATTGGTAACCTGAGCCTCCTTTGATGTTATTTTTTCGCTCTCCGTTTATTTCATGACTATTTCGGCAAGTCTGCATATCTGAGTCCTGTCAAAGTCTCCCAGTTTAATATATGATTTAACGTCATTTCTCCTAACTTCTTCTTCTTAACCTGCCCTATCAAGTCCCCTTGACGTTGGCGATTAACATGGCAAAACTGCCTCTTTCTCGAGTTATTCTAAAGAGTTGCTCAGCTTTCCTTATTCCTGTCCACTCCCTGATATTCTTCAACCAAGAGGCCTGCTTTCTACCAAGTCCTCTGCGTCGTTCGATTTTACCCATCATAATATTATATCGGTAAGTTAAAGAATATTATATCGGTCTCCCCTTACTACGTGTTCAAAATAGGCCATCTTTCGACATTTGATGTTATCAAGCAGCTCGCGAGAAGCATTTGCTCTCTCAAGGACTGCCACATTTGTCAGCATAGCCGTCCATGGAATATTTAGTATAGGTCTGTGCAGCCACATTTCAAAGGCCTCCAGGCGATTAATGGTGGATATTTTTAATGTCTATGCTTCGACACCGGATAAGAGGACTAACCAAATCTAGCATTTAACCATGCGCTTTCAAAGTTGAAGTTGCAAGTTATCATTACAGAAGAATGACCTCATTTTTAAAAATGTCGTGCGGGCTATCTCGATTCTATATTTTATCTCTTGGTCTGGATCTAGTTCTTCAGTAATATGGCAACCAAAATAATTAAAACTGGACACTCTTTGAATTATATGACCATCAATATATAATCGTGCATCTTGATGTGCTAAACGGCTAAACACCATGTGTTTTGTTTTTAAACAGTTTAGGTTTAGGCCAAACTCTCTTCCCTCTGTATCAATGGCATTTAAAAGGCATTGTAGTCCATTCATGTCATCACTTAAAATAACTGTATCGTCTGCATATCTGATTGTATTTATCAGAATTTCATTAACTTTTACGCCCCATTAAAAATTATGCGGCGCTTCTTTAAATATTCTATCTGAATATAAATTTAATAACAGTGAGGATAGTATACAACCCTGCCTGACACCACTTTGTATTTGTGGGGATAGTAGATAGTGGGGATAGTATACAACCCTGTCTGACACCTCTTTGTATTTTACATATTTCTGTTGATTTTCCGTTTATGCAAGCTGTCGCTGTTTGACGCCAGTATAACTGTTCTATGAATCGTACGTCTTGACTATCAACTCCTTTATCTTTTAATATTGTTTTTATTGAATTTTATTATTGAATTTATCCTAACACTTAGTGGTATTAAGGTTTACCTCAGATAAAAATTTTTGCATTCACATAGTATGTTATTTTAGTATGTGATTAAGTTATAGGATTTCTTATTCTAGTTCTTTGAGGCTATTTATTTTGGAAGTTGCCTTCTTCTTTACTGTAGGTCACGTAGACTTTTTATTTTTGTGTATTTTTCAGTGAAATTCTTCCCGTATGCCTATTTCTACGAGAATGCCTATGAGTGACTGTAGTTACCTGTTTCTTTTGCCAATAATTGCATTTTATTTTTCTTTTAAATGTGCCTATCTTCTAGAGATATTGGGGGCCACATTGACCCGTCTTATTCTATTCACAGCAGCTCGAAATAGATCAGTTAACGTTATACCACTCCATTTCCTAAGATTGCCAAGTAGTATATACGTCTACATCCAGGGCCTCTCTTACCCTCAATCTGGCCCTGTAGAATCAACTGCAGAAGTCGGTATTTATCATTACGCATGATGTGGCCGAAGTAACCCAATTTTCTGTTTTTTAAGGTGTTAATAATTTCTTTGTCTTTTCTTAATCTCTGAAGAATAATTATGTTACTTGTGTGGTGTATATATTAGACCCTCAACATACGTCGGTAGCACCACATTTCAAATGTTTTATGGCATCTTCTGTAATGCTCCAGTTTTCTACTGCATACAGAAAGACACTAAATACGTAACATCTAAGAATTGTTATGCGTATATTGATACTTAAAGATAAGTTACAGAGAATCTACCTAAGGCTGTTGAAAGAGCTTCTGGCCTTTTGAATACGAGTTTTTATTTCGTAGCTGTGATCCCAAGTATATTTAATATTGCATTCCAAATAGCATATGTTTCTATTATTTATAACGTTGTATCGTTAATTGTTTTTGGGCGTTTATGCGAGTGTTCTACTAATAATCATTATTTTTGTCTTCTTGCAATTCAGTTATAGGCCATATTTGTTACATGTTTCTACAACGTTATCCATCATCCTTTGGAGCCCCTGCGCACTAACTGCCAGCAATATTGTATCGCCTGCATATCTTATTTTGTCAATAATTAATAATCTACATCCTGCAATTAATTTTACCTTAGAAGTAGAAAGCAACAACATTATCAACTTTTTAGACCTAACTATCAAAAAGAATACTTCCTCCTTTTCTTCTTTGCCTACACTAGAATTTTCAATATTCAGAAAACCTACTCAAACTGACCATATGATACCAACATCATCAAATCATCCTTTTCAACACAAGATGGCAGCTATTCAATGTTATGTCCACAGACTTCTTAATATCCCTATGTTTTAAGAAAATTACAATAAAGAAATCTCCATCATTAAACAGATAGCAAACAACAATGGTTTTCCTTCTACTACTGTTAATAAAGTCATTAGAAAATCTATACTCAAAAAGAGACTAAACCAAGCTTTTAATGTTGATAACAATTCCAACACTACTTCCACATATAGATCCTTAACTTACTTAGGACCAATTTCAGAAAAAATTTCAAGAGTACTTGTTAATAAAATTAGTGACTTAAACATCTCCTTTAAAACCAAATATAACATCAAGTCCATCTTCAGCAAGACCAAAGACAAAGTTGACAAACTAAACAGAAGTGGTATTTACAAGCTGTCCTGTGGTGACTGTAATATGACTTATGTAGGTAGAACAATGAGAACTCTGAATCAAAGAATCAAAGAACACCTCAATAACCCAGAAAAATCAAACTTTGGATATCACATTAAATTTAATAATCATTCATTTTCTCCTTCTGAAAACAGTAAAATTTTACACAACATTCCCAATAAAAACTTTAGACTCATGAATCTCTTGGAAGATCTAGAGATATCCAAAGAAATGAAAATAAACCCTGATTGTTGCTTAAACACACAAATCAACCTCAATGGCAGCTAATCTGAAAAGCTCAACGTAGGTGGCGCTTGTGTAGTTGGAGGTCACGTCACCTGTCCAAATCAATTTACTTGTATGTAAATATTGTGTTTATTTGGCTTTGTGAATTTAATTTGAGCAAATAAAATGCCTCAATGTTGTGTTGTGCCTTTGTGCTCATCGAGAACATCAGGACACAGGTTTCCCAAAGATATTGTGATGAGAAAAAAGTGGATTGTAGCAATTAGAAGGGATAAATATATACCGACAATAAATGCACGTATCTGCAATAAACATTTTGTTGAAACAGATTACGTATTGCCCCTGGATTCGACTTTAAAAAATCGTAAGTTGTTTATTTGTTAAAATACTTATGTTTTTCTGGAATATTTAGTTGCAGCCATATTTAGGTACTAAGAATATAATAGGGAAAACCCTGTAGTTAGCTGTATGCCATATTAAAATGAAGTAAAAACTGCTGTTGTATGTTTTTATATTAAACTAATTTAATATACTAACATACAAAAGAAGTCTTTATTTCATTAAATTATTATTTACTTAGTACCATCATTATAACCTCAACTTTTTTGTGAACAATTTTTTTAAAGCAAAGCCTAGACTCAAGAAGGGTGTTATACCAACCCAATTTAGCTGGACTGAAAAGAAACGAGAATCAGCCAAGCAAAGAAACGAACGCATGATAAAACATGCAGTCGAAAAAGATTTATCATCCATCAGTTCGTCGAACCCAATCCCAACAGAACCCTGTAATGAGGTTGAAATAGAGTCAATACCAATGGAGATAGATGACCATGAAGATCAACCTAGAGATAAATGTGATGCATCAACTATGACTGCTATACCACTAAACTCATTTTGTATTGAGAATTTACAATGCGAGTCTAAGTTGGAAGAACTCAAATTTTATACTGGGTTTGATAGCTCTGAACATTTTTGGCTTGTTTTTAATATCTTGGGTCCCTCAGTTAACCATCTGTTGTATTATCCAACAGGATCTAAAATGAGTGTACGAATATTAACTCCAGCAAATGAATTTCTACTTACAGTTGTTAAGTTAAGGCGGAATATGATCAATAAAGAACTTTCATTTAAATTTGATATAAGTGAGGCATTAGTTAGCCGTATATTTATTACTTGGATTAACTTTCTGTATT